AAATTGCTCTGCTGCAAAATGTCTCCTCATCTGAGAGGAAACCTCTTCTCTGCCAGTGTGTGGGTTCCTCTGTCAAGCAGGAAGAGCCTTGTGTGTGAATCAGGGTGACCTTAAGATGGGGAAGCCCAAGTATATGCCCAGGCCCTGTTTGGAAAGAAGGGTTCACTCATTCCTGGCTTGTTAGATTTTAACCCTCTGTGTTGGGTAACTGTGTAATGCAATCAAAGTCTTCAAAGACAAAATTTCATTTTTTATGGCAGTATTCATGGTTTGGCCTGGTTGTTACCTTGTTCGATTTTTCTTTTTAAATATGAAGATAACTGCACCAGTCCCAAGTGGGAGTTGAGTTGCATTTGATACAAGGTGATAACATCGTGGTTCTTTTTGCTTCTGCTTTCAAAAATACTTTGAGTGAGTCAGTTAACTCTAATGATAACCATTTAGCAGCTTCAGGAACATCAGGCCAAAAATGTCCAGGATTTCATTTGAATTTCTGAAACGTCCTTTCTGAATTTGGCAGGGGAGTTGTTGTCAGATGTCTGACTTGCTGGCACTACTGGTTAGCATTACCTATCTCCCAAACTGCTATGTCGACTACGTGTTATTTTTAGTTAGCTAGCAAAGCATGTTCCCAAAAGGTGGGAGTTAGCTGGGAGTGCTTTTGGGGTGAGGGGGATGATGCTTGATGCTTCAAGCAAAAAATGAGTGCTTTCGTATACTTTGTTGGCAGTACAAAAGATTGCAGATCTACAGACGCTAATGCATTCACTGCTATTATAAGGAAAAATGATATGGTGGCTAGTGAATACTGAGGCTGTAAAACCAAGAACGTTGACTACAAATGTCTTATTTATCTTTTTTTTTTTTTCTTTTTTTTTCCCCTATCTTTCTTACAGATCCGTGATGGATCAAAAGCCTTGTACAGACCAATTTCTGCATCTGTATTTTCTAAGCCAGAGGTCCGGACTGAAGAGGTATCTTGATTTAAACAAAACTCAGTTGCAAAACAAAAACTCAGAACTGCCTGGTGAGCCTAAGTATACTAATCCTAGATTCAAATGCGACTCCCTTTAAAAAGGGCACCTGAGGATAATACATTTTGCTGTCATGCTCCATTTTCCCCCTCTGCTCTTTGAGGGTTTTTTTGTTTGCCATTGATTCTTTAAGTACCATATTCAAGTGTTTCACTCATAGTCATAATTTTTAAATCACTAATTACTCTTGCATGTAGTATTTCTTAACTCTAGTTCCACAGTATACCTCAAAATACAGAATACCTCAAAATAAATATGTAAAATATATTGTCTGACTGAACTTTAAATGTCTCTCGTGTTTCTTTCTTAGGGTAACTCAATTCTTAATGGGGCGCAGAACACTGTATTGCAACTAGCACTTAGAGAGTTCCAGACTAGTGCTATCAGCAGGGACATTGACACTGCTGCTAAATTTATTGGTGCTGGTGCTGCCACAGTAGGAGTGGCTGGTTCTGGTGCTGGTATTGGAACCGTCTTTGGTAGTCTAATTATTGGTTATGCCAGGTAACTTTTTTTTTTTTCCTTCTGTGAAAAATACTATGCTTTAAGTGTTGTTGCATTGATACCAGTTGTAGAAGTTCTTTGGTGTAGTAGAGCTTTATCTGAAATGGAACTCCAATATATTGTTCTTAAATAGCTTTTATGATACTCTTGGATAAATGGAATAGTGTGTAGTGGCAGTGTATCCAATGAAGCTGGCTCTGAGTCCTGAATTGGTAAGATTCAGACTCTGGTATATGTAGACCTTCAGTGATTACTTAAGGCAAACTGGGCATATCTACACATGTCATTGCACTACAGTGATATAACATCAGCAGTCACAAACCGGGACATTGAAGTTATGTCACCATGGCAACTAAAAATAACTGCGCACATGGCGCAGTATGGGCTGTTACTGTGCTGTCATTTAGTACTTCCAAAAGAAAGTATTAAATGATGGTGCAGTAACAAAGGTGTCATAGGGACACGTGTAGAATGTGGCCACTGACTAGCTAAATCAGACTCACTTTTTCAAAGCTGGAATTGGCACTGAAAAGAAACACAAATCTAGACTGAGCGACTTTACATTCTGTAGTGAACACCCAACATTATTAGAGGAACAGATTAGATGATGGATGTTGATATCTAATTTGATTTTATGCCCCTTTCTCCCAATTATCAGGGTTCTTTTAGATATGGATTCTCACTACAGCTTTGTAGCATATCTTCTACTTCATGTGCCAGCTTCAACATTGTAGCTTTACTGTAGCAATTAGTTCCATAGCAACCAACTGATGCTGGATAGCAAACCTTGCTGCAGAAGCTTGAGAAGAGGACAATCCTTTAAGAGGGGCAAATCTAATTTTCCCTAGTTATCTAGCAAATGCACAATTGTACCTATGCAGTAATATGTTCAAACTGCAACTGGTAACTGGCAGAAGTGTAAAATGATCTCTAGTTCATGGAGGTACTTCTCACTCTTGCATCACAACTTGCAGGGTGGTAATCCATTAAAAACTTAAATATTCTCCTTCTTCCCATACTTTCTAGGGAAATACTCTGCATTTTCATAACAAATGAACCTGATAACGCCATCTTGGCTAGGGAGAGAGTTGAACAGCGTAGCTTGTCTACAAGCTGCTTAAAATATTGCAAAGGTATTCAGGATAGGTCTGGTTGTGCAAATGAACTCCTTCCTGTACTGTACACAAGTGGAATTTAACAAGAAAACCTGAGCTGATATTCCCTACCTGGTGGTTTTCTTTTTCCTGGTGAGCATATTTGACATGAAGCCTACACAGGCTAGACTTTTTCAGTTGTAATTGAGTGGTGTAAAAATGTTGTGAATTTTTTTAATATAAAAGGGAATTTAGGGTTGTTCTATAATTGGACATTAATTTCAGAATCCAATTTAGTGATATGTAGCTTACATTATCTTAATGTAGTCTTCAATGAAGTGCCTGTAACAGTGATACTAATGTTACCTCTTGTATAGGTGTAGTTTGTCTCTCTTTTTTTTGTTTTTTCTGCTATGACACTTTTATAGCGTTCTGTAAAACTTGCATCATAACCACAACTCTTTAAATTTATCAAATGATACTTGAGTTGCATCTTCATAAATATAAAGCATTTAATACCTCTCATGCATTCTCTTTTAGAAACCCTTCTCTGAAGCAGCAGCTGTTCTCATATGCTATCCTGGGATTTGCCCTGTCTGAAGCTATGGGTCTCTTCTGCCTGATGGTTGCTTTCTTAATCCTGTTTGCCATGTGAAGAGAGATCTGCTTGTGATGTTGGCATTAGTAAATTACAAATGTAATTCTGTGCATCTTGCCGGGACTCTCAAAATGTTGGTGTTGTGGAAATGTACATTATTTCCAAAGTCATGTCATTAAAGACTATCTTTAACTGTCTAGCTATGACCTTCATCTTCAATTCGAACACTTTGGGTGGAACTGTTAGACACTTGTTTCTGGTTTTCCCCTTAACACTGAGTGCTCATATGCTGACCTCCAGCCACACAATGTAGAACAGAACAAAAGTGGTGTTCTCTATTTGGTCACAATGCTGCATGTCACCTTTTTAGTCTAAATGCTGTGTGTTTACCACTTTAGCCTTCAAATCTAAAAGAGATTTCTTAAGTTTATGAAATTTGTAATGACTTCAGATAACACTGAAAGTCCCAAAGAAGGCTCCTAGCTGTTACCAAAACCAGCATTTTCTATTGCTAATCTAATGTCTGATTTAGTGGTTAGTATTGCCTTTTTGTACATGCTGAGGTTTATTGCACATCTAAGGATCTAAGCAATCTACAAATGACAACATTGCTTCATAACTGCTACAAAACATGAAGTCAAATTGCTTCAGCGTACAGGCAACAGACAATTTGTTTGTTATGGTGAAGCCAGGGCAATGGTGCAAACTTAACAAGAACACAAATTCTAGACCCCTTTTTTTGAAATGGGCTCTTTCAGGCTTGGAAGGTTCTTGAACAGTAACTTTGATAATAGCACCAATGTGAAAGAGTTGTTTGATCATATTGCTTTCCTTGCTTAGAACCAGAGGGCCAGATACTTGCAGATTTTCAGAAATTATTGTTTTGAAAGCTCAAAGTATTTGCAGTCACTTGAAGGGTGTGACTTAATGCACATACTGTTCTGCTAACTTTGACCCTCCAAAAACATCTCTTCCTGCCATAATCTAGTCATTCCTGGAGAAAACTACCTGTACAAAGTACACACTATGTGATGATACACATCACTTATAAAACACAATTTTCTCTTGGTAGTAAAGCATATAATTTATTTTTAATATGGTAGGGGCCTGGGCCTGTATTAAGTTGCATTTGTTTTTCCTTCAATCTTAAATTAATTGGAATGAGTTAAAAACAATCTGCAGGGTTGTGAAATAGCTGCTCCTGCTAATGAAGCTCCTAAGAGAAAGCAGAACAAAGGATAGCTGTCAAGACCATTAAAAAAAGAGTTGTTAACATCTGTTGAATGAAAAGTTTAGAAGGAATCAGGTAGATTATAATAAATCATAAGTCAACTGACTCTCAGCCCTGCCTCAGTGGAAATACTGCTGCCACTAAAGTCAGCTTTAACTTTGGATGGATCCAAATTTCCTTATCCTTGCCTCATTCTTAGTGTTCACTCTCTGCCCTCTTTCTTTCCTGTTCCTTGTTTTCTCCCCATTGCCCTTGAGCATATAGGCCATTTTGAGACAAGGGAAAGGTAGCTAGGCTTGAAGGGCATGGTTCATTGTAACTGGTGCTGCAACCCATGTGATAACAACCAGTACCTAACAAGAACACAGTAAGTGTCATACTGGGTTAGGCCAATTATCCATTTAACCCAGTAGCCTGTGTCTGACGGTCACCAAAATGTATGTGTCAACTTTTTAGATTTAAGGCACCCCATGTAAGATTTGAGGCATCTCTGCATAACTTTTTTGATTTTATTGGCATCCCACTTCAAAAACTAATTTATTACAGTGCTTACCTCCTTGCAGAGGAGTCAGACAATGGGGATGGTGATGTGGCTATGCAGAGTGATGCCCTTATCTGTTTATCTTCTTACATTTGCAATCTGAGCCTGCCATTACCTGCTTATTTTCTCTCACTTTCTGGGGCACCCTTCAAAGGATCTTGTGGCACTCTAGAATGCCCTAGCCCCCTGGCTGACAATCACTGTGTTAAAGGAACAGCACTGAAGTTGGTATATCTAGAACAATCTATCCTATGTGTTACCCTCCTTGGTATCCAGCATCATTGTTTTAAAGATGTTAGAAAATATATCTCTGACTTCTGTTTAAAATAAGATTAATAATTTTAAAACATATTCAATGCCATTCCTTTAGAATTTGGCACTGTGAGGAGGTTTTTTTAAGCTCTTGGAAGACGGGAAGTATATAGTTGAAAGACATAAGCTCTCTATTACCTCAGAGTCCAAATCCTTCAAAACTCATTTACAATCAATAATGATTTATTATATAAAGGGCCTGCTTATATACTATGCCCTTTCTCCTAGTATTCCTAATTCTTAAAATACTTTGAAACGGACAAATCTGTTGCTTTACCCTCAATACAATTTAAGATGTATTCCACGTCCTGGAGTAATGGGGGGGACAATCTTTTTGACAAGTGTGCCACAAATTAGCCTCACATCTTCCCCAAGTGCTACTTTGCACCCTTTCCCCTCCCTGATCTGCTGCTCTGTTTTCTGTTTCCTGTCCAATCATATAGTTTCATATTTGGTAGGGTAGAAAGGGACCTGAGCAGATCATTAAGTCCGACACCCTGCTATGGCAGGAAAAAGTACTTCGTCTAAAAAGGTGCAGGAAAAAGATGTTTGTCTAACCTCTTAAAGACCCCCAGGGTAGGAGCCAGCACCACTGGAAACTTTGGGGGAAATTTTCCAATGGAAACTTTGGGGGAAATTTCAAAAAACAAAATTATGTAATGGTATTTCATTATTACATTAGATTAAACTCATCTTTTTTTAGACGTGCCAACTGATGTTGCTTATATGGTAGGGGGAGGGGGCATAATGGTACTGATCTCTCCCTTGTGCAGCACTTTGAAATCTACTGGTGAGAAACTTGATATAAGATGTAAGTTTGCCCAGGGCCCCTTGTCTCTCTCTTGCTTTAAATACATGCACAGCCCCTGCCATGTGGGGAAAGAGATTCTGGATTGAGGGGCACGGGGATCTCTGGTGGATGGAGCAAATGCAGGTGCAATATTCCAGAAGCCACAAGGAAATCACAAACTGTTGTCTTGAGATTGTATTACTGTATCTACCACCCAAAGGGTTTGTCCTAAGTGTTAAATGTATTTTTGTGTTCCTCATAGCTTCCCTATCTGGGGAAAGTAGTTGATGCAAATTGCCAGTGGTAATTGTGTAGATGCCCAGCCCTTGGAAAGTTCATTCTATTGAGGGAAATAGCATTAGTTGGCTGTACAGGTTCAGGAGGCCCAGCAAGACAAAGGTCTGCAAACTAAGCCATGGCTGTAGAAAGGGAGGATAATGTGCACAATGGAACAAGGAGTCTACAAAATGATATGCTGTATCTGCTAGGCAGCTAGGGAGAGGATGGGTAATACCCAACAAGCTTATTCCAGGTATAAACTGTCAATTGTTTTATGTAAAGTTTTCTCTGGCATTGTATTAAACAAACAGGGCAGTACTCTGCTCTGTGAAAGCTGCCTGGTCAGGGGTTGAAGCTGCCGGTGTCCCTGGAAATCTCTGGATTTCCAGGGGCCAAACTGAACTTGGTCACAGGATGGAATTGCCTTAAAACTGCTGGGGGAAGAGGGAGAGGAAAGCAAGCCCCGCTGTGAGGAAGTGATGATGGGAGGCCAGAGACCTAAGCTGGGTATCTGGAAAGAGGCTACAAGATTCACAGGTGCAGTTAACACTGGAGAGAAAATACAAAACCTGTGTGATGAGAGAAAAGGGGCACTAGCATAGGTGGAGGGGGAATGGAGGCATAGGGTAGAGAAAGATGCAGCAATCCTTTTGGAGGGAGACGGGAAGGAGGGGAGGGCTAGTTAAATAGGAATGGGAGGGTGGGTGATTTTTGGGGGGTGGGAATAAAGGAGCCCCTGCTGTATCTGATGAACTCAACCTCAATCTATCTTTTCAGTACTAAGCCTTAAGGGTTTTTTTGTTTGTTATTTTTAAAAAGCAACGCCTCAAGCACAAAAGGTTCAGTCTTGGTTTCCCATCCACACACTAGCCAGCGCAGTTCCTGCTTAGCTTGCGGCAGCAAACGCGCTGCAGCTCCAGCCACACCCAGTCATTCAGCGCTTCCGGCCACACAGACAAGTCCGGGGTCGCCGCGCGCCCCGCCCCCGCCAGCCAATCGGCGAGAGGCTGGGTTCTCTGCCCACCGCGGTGTCACGTGACCAGCTCCCCTAGCAGCGCTCGGGAGATGTCAGCGAGGTCTCGCGAGATGTGACGGAAGCCTGTGGGGGCCCTGGGCTTTAATGTGCGGTTCGGGCCGTGCTCCGGGGGTGAGTTTGTAAACAGAGCGCGGGCCGGGCCGGGCGCGGCAGCGGCGCCTTCGTTCCCACAGGGGCCGGGGAGGCGCCCCCCTCCCCCACCGCGGGCCCTGCTCCGCCGTCCCCGGGGCCGCGCCCGCCCGCGGAGGAGGGTCGCTCTGGGGGGGGGCGGGCCGGGCGAGCCTGTCGCCCCCCACCCGGAAGCGCTGCGGGGCCTGGGGATGGGACGGGCCGGGCTTCAACTGCATCCACCGGGCGGTGGGGGCCTGCGCCCTCCGCGGGAGCCGCCGGGCCGGCCCTGCGGGGGATGCGCCGGTGAGTGTCTTACCTGCCTGGCCCCGGCGCCGCGCTACTCTGCGAGCTGTCGCTCTCCTCCGCTCTGCCCGTGGGCTTCTTGCAAGAGCTGGCGCTGGCGGCGGGGTGTTGACAAGTTGCGGTGCTCCGGCGTTGCGGATCTTCCCTCAGGCTTCCTGTGCCGCTGGGCTGGCAAGCTGCGGGGCTGGAGCTGTCACACCTCCTGCCTCCTGTTCCCTTCTTGCCCCAGCCTCTTCACCCCTCAACCCTGACCCCGAAAGGGACTCGTCCCATTGCACACGGGTGGTTCACTCCTCTGTTCCTCAAGCAGTTCATTCATTTCTGAAATAAAGACATTCTGCTCTTTCTTTGCCCTTCCAGTTAACACACACAAGATTATCTTTGTCCTCTAAATAAATGAGGCTTTTTGGGTGCGGCCTTCGACCTTCCATTAGCCAAATCTTGGGTTTTTCCTTCCCATGCTCCTGTGAATGAATCATGGCTAGCGCCCACTTTATTGCTTCAAGCTATTTGAGTTGAATAAGTTAGGTTGGACTTAAAGTCATGTATGTGGCTAATGAAAAATCTTGTTGTGATCTGAGTTCTAAATCGTTGTGTTTTAGAGCAGTGATCCTCAACCAGGGCACCATGAGATACTTTTCAAGTTGCCACATACAAGCATGGTTAGATATGCAAGTATCTACAAGTGATTCATAAGCTAAACCTTGAGGTTTTAAATAAGAATTCGTAGAGCGAGTCCAGATGTGCATGGAAGTTTGGTAGTGGACCTTGCGCTACATGCTGAAAAAAAAAAATGGAGCAGCGCACATTCAGGCAGCGCACCCTTGCAGCACGAAGAATGCTGGACTGTGTGGTATGTGGTGCTGCAAATGTGCTTGCGGCACCGTATACCATATGACTGTGCTCATTTGGATGTATCCATCGTGTCCTAAATGTTTTGGCCTGTTTTGGTCTTTCTCACTTCTTTGAAATAGAATAATGATTCTGTTTTTCTGGCCTTTTCAAGTAAAGGCTAAGAGCTGACATTTTCAAGGGGTGCTTTGAGTCTAACAAGTTTGAGAGCCACTGCTTTAGAGCATAAACCACTATTTAAATGATGGGATAAGAAAGAAAGCTTCTGTATGGTCATTTTTTCCATAATTGTTTTCCAGAATATAATATCTTGAACCGTTTATTGAAGGATGTTTTGTGCAGGTTGTTTAGAGAGACTTTCTCACATTTATATGCACTTATGCACCTGCTTAAGGTTACTACTAAGAATAGTCTCATTGATTTTGGTTGAACTAGTCACAGTAGTAAAGCTAAGTACCTATGCGGGTACATAGCATATTACAGAATATAAGGGTCTCACTGCAACCTGGTCCAAAGAAAACTTTACTGGGGTTCCCTGTTTTATAAAAGTTTATTGGCAAATATGAGCATTAATTACAGAAATAACATTAATGAAATAACATTTTTGGAGAAGTGGAGTGAGTCACCATGTTCACTGATGAGTTTATATTTGGGTAGTTAATATTGCACAATAATAGGTCATTATTATAGCCTGATTCAGAGAGCAGTAATATAAACTTCTTGGTGTATTTGTTCTGGATTTTATAGGTGAACTATATCTTCTGAGTACTGTTTCCTACTCAGAAATGCTGTATGATTTGATTATATAAAATCTTTTGGTTGTATTTCCATTTCCACATCTCCGCAGCACATTCTGTGTCTTATAAAGGTTACACTTAGGTAATACTGTATTCTGCTGACTTTTGTCATTCAGGTATGATTCAGGTGTGCTTATGCCAAGGTCCTATTCCATTATAAGACATTCAGATTAGTCTGTTTTTCTTTGTGTTGATTGCATATGGATACCTAGACATGGATCCAGAAAGATGCATCTTTCATTCGCACTTGGTGTCGTCTTGGTTTTGATTTTTCTGAGCTCAGCTTGTCCCTACACCACTTTAAAAATATTTCACATGTAAAGTTGCCACAAAAAATTTGCATTGGAACAAGCACTGTGTGGTGCACACAACTCACCTTAAATGTTTGGTCATATTACTTTTACCTGTTTTCCACCACCAATCCTTCCCTGTTGTGGTGACACCCACTTGTTGCATTTTTTTGTAAAGTAGACTCTTAAGTTTTTGTGGGCTAGGACTGCTTTCCTACTTATTTGTACCTCTAGCTCAACAAAACCCAATATTTACCAGAGATTTTGAATGTTATTCTAGAACTTAATAAATAAGAATGGAAATTATATATATTCTGAAGTACAGACTGTCTTTGTATTAGTGGGATGTTGTTAACCTAGAAATTACAGTTCTTTCAGACATATCTTTATTATTTTCACAGGCAAGATCAAAGATAAATGCGACTAAAATACTAAAGAAATTAGAGGGGGGTTTTTTAGTTTTCTGTTACCAATCTGACAGGTCTTCAAATATAATTAATTCAGTTCCTGCTTTTTCACATAGTGATATATGAAGAAAACTTTAAAAATAAAACAAAAAAATATGAGTGAAAAGCAGCAAAACAGGACTTGAAAGCAATGGGGTTGTTCCCTCAAACAACTTCTAATTCATCTTTTTAAAAGTGATTGAATTTCAAACTGTTTGCCTCATAGTTAACTGAAGTACAGATGGGGTATCAATGCATATTCAAATAGGAGATAGAACTTTTAAAGATATCAATTATAGTATAATCATATTCATGTGAGAGAATATTATGAGACTTTTCAAGTCTGTGTCACATTGTTTCCAACAGTATCCTGTGTTAATTTCATTTTAGACTAACAGGATTGCACCCTCCATCAGATAGTCCAGGTGAGACAGCACATTTTTGGGAAGATTGTTCAAGTGATATTTTTGATTACTTTTTGAAGGACTTTGCCAATCTGTTTTGAAGAATGTAAGCCTCTCCTAGTGTGATGGTTCTATATTGCAGATGTTCAGGAGTGTTTATTTGCATCAAAATGGTACCTATCTCCCCATTTCCAAAAGCAATGGATATATTGAGAAACAAAATGATTTTTTATTCTTGCAGAACTAAATTATTTTTATATTTTCAGACCCTATTTATCTTTTAGTCTTTATCATAAGTTGATGTCAGTGATTCCAGTAGCTTCAGTAAACAAATGTTCTGAACAAAATTTAATACGTACATTTATTTATTCATCTTTTTCTTTTAATCTCATTTTTGCACCCACTTTCTGTTTCATTTTTGAAACTTTCATTTGTTTGACCTTTTATCTGATTCATAGTTTCAGCTTGATTTTGTTTTTTACATGAGCATGAGAAGTAAGCCCTTATAATAAGAACAGTAATGGCCTTTCTATTGGTTGTTCACACAGAGACCCTTCATCTTCCTTTTCAGCTCTGTCCCTCTTTTACCAAAGATATATTTTCATTGTTTCTCTGCACATGCCCTAGTCTTTTAGTTTTGCTGTCAGTGCTGGGTTTGGAAGCTGGATTTTTTTGCACTTATTCGTTTGATAGGACAAATATTGGTAGGTTCCTTCTTGTGTTTCGAATTGGTAGGCAGAGTAACTAATCACCAGCTTCCAATTTTTTTTCTTCCTGTCCAGCTGCACTCATTCTACAGGCTGACTCCACTGTTTTCCTCAGTTTATCTTTTGCCTCAGCTAGGCAGGTGCCTTTGGCCCTCATGCCTCAGTCAGCCGACTGTTAGGCAGAAAATCCTGTGGTTATACGTACCCAGATATCTTCATGCTATTGCATTATTACCTTCCTTCTTACTGTTCCCTGTGATCCATTGGAACAGGCACAGGTTTCAAGTCTTCTTCCCAGGGCAGGCAAAAAGCTCTCTTGCAGCAAGGCACGTGGTTGCAGCAGCATGCTAGCAGTCTCTGGCTTTCTTTTCCTTCAGGTGGTAAATTCTCTGCCCTCTGCTCACATTTTGTCTGGGCAGTCACTGTTAAATGCTTTGACATCTTGAGGTAGAGAGCTTGTAATGCCGGTCTTCTGAGCACTCTTCATGACAGCTAGTATTTCAAAATTAATCCCATCTACCTCTTCCAGGCTCACAGGCTTCAATGGTCTTTCCTCTGCAGCGGCAGAACCTGGTTCAGAAGATCCACTTGTTTAAGGATTCTGAAACACTAGAGAAATCAGCACTGAAGCCCCCCCTCTAATTTCTCCCACAGTCTCAGAGCAGTTCTTCTGTCCTGTGCTGGAAAAAAAAATGCACGGGAGCTAGCTGTTAAAGACCCTGTAGCTGACAGGAGAATAACTTTTGGAAACCAGTAATGATTACTCTGCCTAGTAAATTTGAAATTGAATAAAAATCCTATGGTCAGGTTGTAGAAGTGTAATTAGCAAGTAGTGAAAATCTCCATTTTTCATATATATTTAAAAAAATTCCTGACCCCTTCTTTCCACTTTTGTATTTCAAATCTTATGATAGTAAGACACAGCATGTCTCTAGAGTTAGAGGTTTGGACATTCCTTTAATAATGACTTTTTTTTTAAATGGGAAGCAGTAAGTACACTTATTTTGTTTCAACTCTTCTGTTCTGTGTTTTAGGAAACTGAGAAAAGCTGTTCCAGCCTCATCCAGGTCAGTATAGTTGTGACATTTTCTTTAAACTGCAAATACTATTTTTTACTTTTAGTTAAGCAGAATAATTTGTGAGATTTTTCCAGGTACAATCTTATGTAATTAAAAAAAATGAAAGTTAAGGCTTTCGGAAGTGCATGGTACTAGTCTAACTTTGTCCTAGAAATTTGTAGGAACAGAGATAAACAAAAGCAGAGTTTATTTTAAAAACTTTTTAAAAGTAGATCAGTCATTACGCTCTTAAAGTATATAATGTTGTTCATTTTGTTTTGATTATCTTATTCATCAAAACAGGCATCTTTGTACTAAAGATGAAACTAAAGCAAATGAACTTGGGTGCAAAATATTTTGCTATTGTGTTTTTCACTCTTTTCTAGTCTGCATTATCTGATGATCATACTTGTCATCACAGTCACTTGAATAGTTATTTTGTCATATTTTTAATCTTGGTTTGTCTTTTCATGTAAATGACAAAAGACATTGCAGGTAAATAAACCAGGAATTAAATTAATCTTATTTTAAAATGCATTTTCTTTATCATCAGCCAAAGCTAACTAAGTAAACATTTTAAGGATATAATTTTCTGCCCCATCAAAGGCAAGAGGTTGTCATTATCTTTTATTAAAATAATCTAAAATATGTTTCCAAGTGTGCATTTGGCCACTAGCAGTCATCAGCACTTATATGTTTCACTCTTGGTTGGGTAGCCTAGAGTCTCATAAAAATGGCTAGTTTCCAGAATTAAATGTAGTATTTGCTTGTATGTTGTCAGCACATCATAATTTTCCTTTATGGACTACCACCCATACTGGTGGAAGAGCAAGAAGGACAAGTTAGTTTTGTAGCGCTCTGCAAAAAAACCCCCAAAAACATTCGATATAGTGTAACAAATAATCTGCTTAATGATCCCTCCACTTCTACTACTTTTTTTAAAGAGATTTAAAAACATACTTTGGCCTGATGAGCATGCTGTGCATTTTTATAGCACTTTGTATCTTCAGAGTACTTTACAAACATTAATTCATTAAGATTAAACATTAGCTTTTAAAGTGCATGTGTATTATGCTTGTTCATTCTGTACAGTGAAATTTGCTTTGCAGTTAAATGGCCCAGGAAGCTGCATACCATCTGATATCGATACTGTAAGTTTTGTATTGTATGAAAAAATAATAACTTAGGTTTTTCTTGCGGATTAGAAGCACTGTTTCTTGGCTCTAGTCTCACCTATGCTATCAGCAGAAACCTTAAAGCTTAAAATATTTGTTTAGCTAATGTATATGGAATATATGCTTTAAATATTTTCCTAGATTGAAAAATGTGCAAAGTCTAGAGAAATGTTTTTAAATGTTTATTCACGCTATTATGTCCTTTTGTCATAGACCAAACAAACTGTGTTGTCCTGCACTGCCGTATTGAATAGGGCTTGAGTATTGCGCTAAATTATATTAAGCTGTATAAAGAAACATTTTATGCAATTAGAGTAATTGACAGAGGGGGAGTATTGCCTTTAAGCAGTTGTATTATTTATAATTTTATAAAATTACTCTTGTACACCTACATTTAAGCATATGGTTATTGTCAAAGAAATGGAGGGAAATCTGCCTACAGGCACTATCGGTATGGTGCCAATAGCTAGTGTAATTTCAGGAAGTTAATTACACAGGTGGTATTGATCAAGGTCACTTGCTCTGCCTGTTTAATGTTGAAAGGGTTCTTTAGTTTACCATTCTTAGATGGATAAATAATACCAACCTGACAAGAATGGCTTACTAGTATTACAAAAGAACCAAACTTTTTTTCTCGTGTCTCCTTGCTATACCTTAAAAATTCACCTTGGTATCACAAGGTCAGATGTTTGCTTCCATGTTTCTCTTTCCTCCCTACATAGGAGTAACATCAAAGCATACATGTTATATGGGATCTGTCAATCCAAAACACAAGGTGTCAGCAGACAGAACTTCATATACCAAATTCTTTGTTGTGATAGGCCGGAAAAGACCATGTATGATAGGCCCCTTTGCCTGTGTATGATACCTTGTGAAAGAATACTTGATCTCCCATGGTCCAGTACTTCCAGTGGATACAAAATGGAGCTGTTAATGTCTTCTTTTTTGGTCCATCAGTCTCTTTAGATAGCTCAGTTCCTCCCCCATTTCACTGCATTAGGGTCAAGCTTCTTATCCTCACCTTCAAGAGTCTTTAGCTCTTCTCATAAGTGTCTCTGCATGTTAAAGACAGCTTTTCTGTTGTGCTTGATGGGCTAGTTGCGTTTGTCCCTTTGTTAGCTTTTCTAATAATTAACTACACATTTTCCCTTTGTTTTCCCTCCTATGAAGCATGCTTCTTGAGCTAATCCATAAAGTCATGGTCCTTGCATGTGTCCCCAAATCCCACTTCTGTCATGATGCTTAAAATGAATAAAATAATTATAGTTTGGTTAAGGGCAGATAGTTGGAAATTATCATTCAGAAAAAACGTTAAAAATACATGTATGTTTATAACAATGTGGGTTTTTTTATTATCTTAATCCTTTCCCCACTATCTGTCATATATCACTTGACATTTTAGATTGTAAATTCCCTGGAGCTCCCTGGAGCAGGAACAGTGAGTTATTATGTATTTGTGCATAATAATATAATGGGCTCCCAGTCTTGGTTTGGGCCTCTGGGCACTATGGAGCCACAAATGATACATTGCATTTTTGGTAGTGTTTATAAACTGTATTCAGAGAATATTATAGTTTTAAGACGGACATTCAGAATTTAGGTAATCCTGGGATTAAGACTGCTTTTGCCTCATTCATCATACAGGATGGACGTTGCATAGGGAGTAATCAGTGTTGTGTCTTGAAGGTGGCTGTTATTTGTAAGAACTGTTTCTCACACAAAACAAGGGTAGAATCTACTCTTCTGTGTCTCTTGATTTCCTCAGGCTGAATGCTGACCTCATGGAGCAGGGGTAAAGTCTACTCTTCTGTGTCACTTGTCCTCCCTCTCCTATTCTGCTAAAAGCTAGAGTTTTGACTGCTCAGCCAAAGTTGATTGCCAATTCAGCAGTGGCTGTGAGAGGGTTGGGCAAAAGGTCATGTGGTATGCAAGTAAATATGGTATTCCTCCTAATAGTCCCAGCATCTCAGGTAGGACACCTAAAATTGGTGTATACTTTTGACAATTTCTTGTCTGTGTCTCATTTATCTGACAAGAGGAAATAAGAGAACCAGTTTACAGAATGGTTTTGAAGATAAGTTTGTTGAATTTTCTTGAAGCAATCATACATTTTGGTAATAGTCATAGAAAAGCCCAGAAGGAGTGAATAGTTTGGCGCTTATTGCAGAGTGTGGTTGGTCTGCATAAACAAAGGATAGACACACGTAATAAAAAGACCTGCTTTTTTCTTAGGTCTGGGGAAGGGCACTTTTTACCCAAAAACTTGTCTAAATCCCTCTCAACCATGCAGCTGGTCCTGTGAAAGGTAGCACCCATAAAAATCTTCATTTTTGCATATTTCCTGTACAGCTACAACATCATTCTAATACAGGGGCAGGCAAAGTCTGGCCCGTGGGCTTGATTGATCCCACAACAGACTCCATTTCTCAGCAGCCCTTGCCCACCTTACTGCAGCTGGTTTCCATGGAGACCCCAGCAATGGCAGGTCTGTGACAAGGCAGGGCCAGGATCTTATGGGGGGTCCTGCGATCCGCAGGAGCATGCAGGCATGGATCATGGCTCTGCCCCAGCTCCGAGCCATGCTGTCACTGCTGCAAGATCCCAGCCCTGGCCCTGGAGCAGCTCCCCTTGCCAGTGCTGCTGGGGCTGGTCTCCATGGAAATCCTGGCCCTGCAGTGCCAGGCCCCTACCACTGCTGGGGTCTCCATGGAAACTGGCTGCAGCGATGCAGGCAAGAGCTGCTGGGAAATGAAGTCTGGCTGCCACCCAGATCTGCCATTTTCCCTACCTCTGCTGTAATACTACCATAAAAAAGAGATGTCCTTTTTGATTTTTTTTAAACTTAAACTGAAAAAAATCACATGGAGTTATGCTGAATCCCATATGGGTGGTAAGGAGGATTTTCCAATCTGTGGGAAGCTCTAGTGATTGTGGTCCACCCCACAGACCACAATCACTAGAGCTGAGTAATTGTTAACACGGTAGTCCAGTATTTGAACCAGCTCCTCAAGATTCCCGTGCTTATTCCAAGTCCATTCACGTGTGAAAATAATGATTTTCTTACCAAATCAAGGTAGATTTTCAGAGGGAAATATATTTATCTAGTTTAACTAGATTTGTATTAAAAATGGGTATTTCTCAAATATTTTTATCATTCTGACATTTAAGGGATAAACAGAAGACACAAAGAAACTACCACATAATATTAGAGCTTACAAGAAACTGCATTAGTAAATGCTATTTCTGAATGGTTTAACTACTTTTAGCAATTTGAGTATTTCCTTCAGGAAAATATTTTAAAATCAAACTTCAGTGTATACAATAATAACATGTTGTTTCATTTTCATAAAATGTATTTCATATCATTTAATAAATGTAATAATCTTAGCCAAAAATCTTTTTATGTAACATTTTATAAAAATGTCTTTAATCATTTTCTGAATAGGATCCATATTACTTTAAATATCACTAAATTGATATCCTGTGTGAACTTTAATTGCATCTTTGTGTGTGATTAATATTTGTGATATATTTTCCTTTTTTAATTTTTTTCTGTAAGTGATGCATCAGGTTTATGATGTTTTAGATTAGAATGTCTGTGTTAATATTCTGTCTCTGTAGGTCCTTTGTTATATGTCTTCAGCATACTAGTGCAGGACTGATGGATTGCATTCTGACAAAAAGTAACAGGTAGCAGAACTAATTAAACTACCAAGGCTATGTGATGTTCTTTCTGCATTCAGATCAATTACTGACCCTGATTCTTACTCTTAACTTGAAGGAATACAAAATCTAAAGGATAGGAATGAAAGGACAAGTACACACCATATAGTACAGATTTGTGCTTCATTCCACTCTAACATTTATTTGAAATATACAGTTTCTTTGAGGAGGTGAAGCCAAAGCTGAAGAGGTTTCATCTTTTTTCTTTTCGTTCTTTTTTTTTTTTTAAACAAAGTCACTCAGCTAGACACAGAAAGTGTAGTTGTCAAAGTAAGTGCTTTGAAACAGGTATTCAGTACATGTTACCTGCTTTGCCTTCACTGAAGTCCACAACAGCTCGCTTCCAACCATTGGGTCAGAAGTTCATATAATTCATTTCTGTTGTTCACACAGAAAAGTAAATTTTTAATTAAGAGAAGGCACTTCGGTTAATC